GAACAAGTCCTCTCAGAGTGGAGAATAGGGCCATGATCAAGTCCTCTCAGTGTGGGGAATAGAGCCATGAACAAGTCCTCTCAAAGTGTTTCTGTCTTGGGCTGATCTTGCTGACTCTGTCCATGACCCGAAAGCCAGATTTCCCCTTTCTCTTTCAACGATTCTCCTCTATGTCTCTTTTGGCCTTCAATTTCCTTTCGTGAGAATAGGGCCATGAACAAGTCCTCTCAGTGTGGAGACTAGGGCCATGAACAAGACCTCTCCGAGTGGAGAATAGGGCCATGAACAAGTCCTCTCAGAGTGGAGAATAGGGCCATGATCAAGTCCTCTCAGTGTGGAGAATAGAGCCATGAACAAGTCCTCTCAAAGTGTTTCTGTCTTGGGCTGATCTTGCTGACTCTGTCCATGACCCGAAAGCCAGATTTCCCCTTTCTCTTTCAACGATTCTCCTCTATGTCTCTTTTGGCCTTCAATTTCCTTTCGTTTTCCTTCTGGTGCCTATCCTAGTGCGATGCGTGGGTGTGCGGTTGTTTCCATCCTTCTGGTGCCTATCCTAGTGCGATGCGTGGGTGTGCGGTTGTCTCCATCCTTCCAGTGCCTTTCCGAGTGTGATGCGTGGGTGTGCGTTAGTTTCCATCCTTCCAGTGCCTATCCTAGTGCGATGCGTGGGTGTGCGGTTGTCTCCACCCTTCCAGTGCCTATCCGAGTGTGATGCGTGGGTGTGCGTTAGTTTCCATCCTTCCAGTGCCTATCCTAGTGCAATGCGTGGGCTTGCGGTTGTCTCCATCCTTAGAACATGACCTAATCATTGCCAACGGCGTTCCTTTATCAAGGCGCTGATTGTATCTACCCCCTGCTGTTTCTCTCATTGTTTCGTTGGACACTTTTCTCGGCTGTAGATTTTAAGAATCTTTCTGAGGCACTTGTGTTGGAAGGTGTCGAGTAGTTTTTCAACTCCCTTTGTCATTTTCCATATGTCGCAGCTGTATAAGAGTATCGCTATTACATTTGATTAAAATAGCATTATTTTTGCTTTCCTGTTAATTTCGTTGCTTCTTCAGGTCTTGCTGAGTTTGTGGAATGCTAATCCTGTTTGGCCGATTCTCTTTCTGATATCTTCGTTTGTGCCTCCTGTCTTATGACTGTTGCTTCCAAGTATACCAATTAATGCACGTCTTTTATGTCGTTTTCATTGATGGTGATTGACTGGCTGTTCCTAGCATTAGACGAATGACTTTTGTTTTGCCTGTGTTGATTTTTAAGCCTGTTTTTGCTGCGTAGCTGTTCAGTAAATTCACCTTATCTTGCATCTGTTCCGTGGTGCTGGATAAAAGAGCAATGTCATCTGCAAAGTCTAGATTTTTTAACTTTGTTGTCATTTTTCCAACTTATGCCCGTTTTGTTACTAGCTGTTATGTTATACTAACAATTATGTTGTACCTGTTCCATCTATTACTGCAAATTCGCTGTCTTCGTACATTATTTTCACCATTTGGATCAATTTTCCTGGAATTCTGTACTTTCTCATGATCTTCCATAAGGTTTTACGATGTACACTGTCAAATGCCTTTTCAAAGTCAATAAAGCATAAATACAGGTTTGTTTTCCATTCGATTTCTTGCTGGAAAGATGTTGCACGGAACGACGATCTGTTGTGATGTCCCACTTCCCGCTTCCAGCTAGACCTCCCTTAGCTTGATGTCTACACTTAGGACAATTCTTCGTACTATGATATTTCCCATTATTTTGGCGGTTGTTGTTATAAGGGCGATACCTTGCCAGTTCCCACAGTTCGTGACGTCTGCTTTCTTTGCGAGCTTAATTATAAGACCTCTCCTCCAATCTTTTTGCGCCTTCCCTGTGAACCAGACTACACTGGATAATTTATCTAGCTCTTTTACTGTTGTTTCTGAATCTTCAGGATCTCTGCTGTGATGTTATCCACAGCTGGTGCTTTTCCAGCCTTCAGTCCCTTTCGCGCTCTTCTAATCTCAAACTGTGTGGAAGGGCCTGTCTCTATTTCTTAAGTACCTTCTGTAAGAATTTCTGCTTGATCGATACGGACGGGTGTATTTAATACCTCACTTAAATGTTCCATCCATCTTGTTCCTATGTCATTTTTCTTTATTAGCATGTTTCCATCTTTGCTCTTTAGCTCACCTTGCCCAAAGGGCCATGTGAGCTTATGCCGTACTTCGGCATATGTTTTCCGACGTACCTCCGTCAACTTCTTCTTTTGAACGACTTCTTCTGAAGAACTAGAAAACCTAGGGTCATGATATTTCGACAGTAGGTACCTTGGATGGAGTGCTGTAAAGTATCCTCATTAAAATTCCTTTGACCTACTTTCTAGGTCACAGGGGTCAAATATGTTAAAAACAACAATATCCTAAGAACCATTTGGACTAAAGTCGTATTACTTGGGTATGTTATGTAGACAAGCTGTGTGAATCCTTTTCTTAATTACAGTAATGAGTTCAAAGGTCAACTTTAAGTGCTAGTCAGGGGTCAACAGTCAAAATGGGTTAAACGGTTTAACAACTTTCATCTCAAGTTGCATAAGGCCCAGGGTCATGCTACTTGGCCCGTAGGTACCTGGGATGAAGTGCTTTAAAAGTTCCTCATAACAATGACCTTGAACTAGTTTCAATGTCACAGGTGTCAAATATATTTAAAAACAATATCTTAAGTCATTTGGTCTAGAGTCATGATACTTGGGTATGTTATGTAGACCAGCTGTGTGAATTCTTTTTTTGTATTACAGTAAGGAGGTCAAAGGTCAACTTTGAGTGCTACCAGGAGTCGCAGGTCAACGTAGGTTAAAAGCTTTAAAATTCAAATTGCAAATTGAAAACAACAATATCTTTAGAACAGTTTAAGAGATGTTATAATGTCTTGTGTTCTAGCTACCAAAATTGGTCTGGAGTTGCCTATATGTCAGTTTGATGTAACATCAGAAAAAGTGAGCGATACAGGTCCCCTGGGCATCTTGTTTAATTTATGAATGTGGTAAATTCATGTACATAAATTGTAACTGTTTTAAGTGTTCATTCATCTGTCAACCTAATGAAAGCTTGAGCTTGACTTCTGATCAAACAAGATGCCTAGAGGTGCAGAGAGCGTTAGTGAGCGTGCTTCTGGAGTATCGAGGATGGCTATCACCTAGGTGTGTTACGAAAGTACGCGACTTACATAATATGTTGATCTACCAGACTGGTGTCTAATATCCATGCTACATATGTATCTCCTAGGTGTGTCACGGGATCTGCTTGTTGTGGACAAGTGTCACAGTTTGTTCAAAGTTTGGTTAGCTTAACGATACAGAAAACTTTAATATAGGTTTTGTTTGTTTGCTTTGTTTTGGGTCTAAGGTCCCCATATCAGCCAAGGTCATATGCGGACGGTTTAATCTAGATAGTATACATTCAAGTTTTATTCAAGAGACATATTTACAGCTACAACGTAGATAAGGTAAAGAAAACCTCCTTTTGGATATCCAGGGGTTACTCCCGCTTTCGTTCTCTTCTCAAAACGACAAGCTATAGTCTGTTGCTGGGTCGTATTGCTATTATTAGAATTTTCCAGATATGGTGGCGCGCTGTCCTTTAGCGATCTAAACCCAGCCGGTCAAGACCGGTAGTGTGCGGAAATTAGTTCCGGATACAGAAACACAATGTTAAAGCTTCTTATTTATATCAAAATAATGTTATCTTTACACAAACAGTGATATTAGACTGTGCTACGTTTCAACACCGACTGGTGTCATTGTCAAGCTATGTCTAAGTGACGATAAATTGTACAAGGTCAGCACTACAGTAGCTTACATGGCTTACATCTATTAACGTAACGGGTAAAAGCGATGTCGTGCTCTCGTGTTTTGTTTGTGCGTGTCTTGACATCTTTGACCTTTGGTTCACATTGTCTGACATCATTTTGTGATCTTATATATATATGAAATACTGTATACTTACACTGCGAATGGAAACGCTCAGGGGAATAAGGTTAAGCGCACCACTGTATGTATACCAATTTGGCTGACAATATTGTATGGCCTTCGCGTAGAGAATGGCGCCAAATGCGGGGAACCTGGAGCCACATTGAGGAAGCAGTTGGTTGCATCGACGGGACACCACATGAAATATACGTGCCGCAAGAAAATCAACACCTATTTTATAGTGGACATAGACATTATCATTGCATTCAAACCCAACTGGTCATTGATAATGAACTTAACATTCGTCATATTGAATCTGGACTTTGTCCCCTGCTTGCGACAAAACACTAGAGAACGATCTTTTAGTGCTCCTTACCTACAGTAACATCCCCTGATTTGCATTACACCTTACTTGGGATTTTTCCAGAAAAGGTTTTTTAAATTATGGTTTATACTGAAAACATTCATAAACGTTACTTTGCCACGAAGGGATGCTAATAAACGTCCTTTTGTCCAACCACCTCTATACGAAAATGTGTGGAACAAATACCTTCAGCTTAACGCTAGGCCTATTACATGTATAAAAAGACACCGTGTAAGCGTTAAACATTTCTTTCGTAATAAGTAAATATCGTGTCCGAAGAAGTTTGTGGATGGTAAATTTAATTTACAAATGTATGTGTGATCCCTGTTATATATGTAAAATACAAACTTCTTCCACCTGATTATTTTAGCTCGAGGAATTTATTGTTACTCAATTGGCGTCAGAAAAACACAACAGACGTCTCGGGTGAGATCCTTAACGGAGATATTGAAATATCAATAACCACGGTCACATACGGTCGCATTGAGCGAAGGCGTTGATAAGTTGTTATAACTTGTGCCTAATCCCTTGTCTAATTTTGGCAATAAATATGTTTAAACTAAACTAAACTCATTGAGCCACGAAAAAGATTATAACGACTGCGGTTACCGAATACATAATTTCTTACCTGTTCGCTTACCTATAGTCATGTACATGTGCGTCTGCACGCTCTGACATACCCTATACGCTACGTGCCATATAAAATTATCTTTAAAAGGACCCTTGTATTTGCTTGTCTAGGTCTCTGCCAACACTATTTCACCTGTGTTTAAACCTGTGGTTTGATTCTTTATTGCCTCCGGATTTTAAAAATGAAAAAGAACAGATCTAATTATCCTAGCTGTAATCAATATGAAGTGATTTTTATGGTCTAACTACACGATCGTCAATTACGCCATAGCTAAAATGGACAAGCGTTCTGTATTTGTTGGACTCGTAATTTGTGTATTGATATTAGTGATTTCATTGAACTTTGTCTTGTACAGGTAAGTTTTTCATTCTTTATCTTTTCTAACACTAACTAGTTTATTGTTTTTAAAACATGTTACATTGTACATGAAATCCTTTGCGTGCTATCACTATACATGTTCATTGAATGGGCAAGTAAATGTGTTGCTGACCACGCCTAAATAAAATTGACTATAGAATAAAACTGCTTCCGTATTCTAATGCCATTGTGANGGGGGGGGTTGGATCCTCTTGACGACTAGCCAAAAGCAATTTTCGATGTTTCTTTTCAGACTCCTAAGAAAGGACTAAACTATTCCTTTATTATCTGATATCAAACTTAAATATGTTCTAATTAGTAATAAACTATTTCTGTAATATCTGATTTTGATATTGAACAGCATTAAAAGGTTTTATTCAAACTTTGCGTATTCATTAAAAGACTAAGAGAAAAGTTTTCTGTTGGAGAAAAAAATCAGTAGATTGTACAGGACCTGACATACATGTATGATGAAAACTGAAATGTTTTAGCTCACATTAAGCACAGATGAAGTTTTTTTGTCTACAAGAAATGTAAAATGCATATAAATTTATTTACTACATGTAAAAAAAGCAGAAAGAAAAGAAATTGACCAAATAAAATTCAGTGAAGAGATAAGTTCCCATTCAAAATAAAAAAAAAGAAATTATCTTTTTTTTTATTATCTTTTTTTTTATTTCAATAATTTTACAACCTAGTTCAATTGTTGGATCATCTGTATAACCACGTTTATATGTCACTGACATTTTTGATTTATATATTTTAAAGCTCCAGATTAGACAGGTTTAAGATTACCACAAGTTCGGATGATATTTGTTTTCATTTATTTTCTACACTATGATTGAACAGTCAGACACACGTACCACTCCCATTGACATACTGTGACGCATTTGTTTTTATTATTTTCCTAGACCTGTAACGATGTTATCGAAATATTGAAAACGATTTGGCAGATACAGCTCCCCTGTGGGATACAATTATCCCTAATTTCACGTACATGAGGAATTTCCTTTAGTTAAAAATTCTCATAAAACTGGTTCCTTCTTATGAATTTCCCCTCTTTAGATTTAATATTTAAGTTTATTCAATTAGACCACATTTGTAAGTATTGAGTAATGTTACTCTTTCACTAACCTGTATTTGTGTGGTACAAATAAATACTCCTTATTTTTTGTTGTTGTAAACAAATAACTCCGATACAAATTAATGTGTTCTTAAATTGTAATTAATTGTGCTGCATAAGGTGTCTTTTTCACACTCAGATATAAATTAGCGTGTTTTTAAATTGTAATTTACTGTGCTGTATAAGACATATATTTTATGTAATTTTCCTTAGTGTTATCAGTTTAAAGATTCAACATTTACATTAAACCTAATTACAACAAATATTTCCAGGTCCATTTCATTCATACAACATTTAATTATCTTCTAAATAATTTGCTCGTTATATGTGTGCGTGATGAACGATTTTTTTATATTGCACAATTCCTTCGTATTCACAGATGATGGAAATATAACCAATTTAAAGAAGGAGGGATTTATTCAATAGTAGGGCTTCACATATTTGAAACCACATCGTTTTACAAGGGGCATTTTAAAATGAAACGATATTCGTCCTCGATGTCATTAAGACACATAGGGCAAGCTGACGTGGAACATTTCTGTGTCTGCCCGATTCGATAAGAAGACAATGTGAAGATAAACGTAATCTAACAATAGCCTTTTTTTAGTTAGCAGGAATTGGTTTTGAAAGATAAGTTTGCAATGCAACGCGATCTACAACATGCCTGTATGAAACACGTTTGGCGACGAAACAAAATTTAAATGCTCACACTCTTGCTTGAAATTGTCTAACAAACGTTGTTTTTACNGGGGGGGGGGGGGGGGGGGGGTGTTTCCAAAATGGCCCCTCCTTTGTTTTCAATTTTCTTTTGGTGAGGTGTAGACATAAACCTTATCACAACAAAAACACCTATTAAAATAAAAATGAGTACTTGGTACGTTTTTCGTAGAAGCATAAAACTGAAATTCTCAAACAGTCGAACATTTCCCCAAAAGACGAATGTTGTCAAATTAACAATGGATTGATGTATCATTCAACCAAAACTAGGGATCATATGCTACAGTTTATATGTAAAAATCTCTTGCTATGGTGAGTTGGGGTGTTCTCCGAGTGCCAACATATTTACCAACAATAGGCAGGTGTTGTTTTACGAAACAATGGAACTCAATTATATACTGTTTCATAAATGTTGGATTTCACCTGTGAATACCTGATATGGTACCATACGACACACTCTCCTGTATTGCTATTGCTATATTTGGTCCGTATCAACAATTATGGATTACTTGTACCCTTTTCAGTTGTAGCATCATATCTACTGAGATGTTTCCTTATATTTTGAAGAAAAAAAAACTGGAATTGGAATGAAATATTCCAGTATCCGTGTTTAATAGTACTAAACTTTTCCTTTATTATCTGATTTTGATATCAAACTTAAATCTGTGGCCATACGTAAAACCCTATTTCTGTAATATCTGATTTTGATATTTAATAGCATTTAAAGTTAAAATTCAAACTTTGCGTATTCATTAAAAAAAATAGGAGAAAATAAAGTTTTCTGTTGGAGAAAAATGTGATGTAAAAAATTCGGAAAATTTACATTTATGAACCTCTACGTGTATACTTGTTATAGTCAATAGTATAAATAATTTTTGCTTTATTTTAATGAAAACTAAAATCTCAGAATTAAATTTCAATACAGCTATAAATTACAGGTGGATATAACTAAACAGGTTACAGGTCACAGTTATAAAGTTCAATCGGTAGATTGTGCTGGACCTGACATTCATGTACGATGAAAACTGAAATGTTTTAGCTCACATTAAGCACAGATGAAGTTTTTTTTACTAAAAGAACTTTAAAATGCATATAAATTATTACTAAATGTGAAAAAAAAGCAGAAATAAAATAAAATTGACCATATGAAACCCAGTAAAGAGATAAATTCTCATTCAAAATACAAAATTAAGAAATTATCTTTTTTTTATTTCAATAATTTTACAACCTAGTCCAATTGTTGGATCATCTATATTACCATGTTTATATGTCACTGACATTTTGATTTATATATTTTAAAGCCCCAGATTTGACAAGTTTAAGATTACCACAAGTTCGGATGATATTTGATTTCATTTATTTTCTACACTATGATTGAACAGTCAGACACACGTACCACTCCCATTGGCATACTGTGACGCATTTGTTTTTATTATTTTCCTAGACCTGTAACGATGTTATCGAAATATTGAAAACGATTTGGCAGATACAGCTCCCCTGTGGGATACCATTCTCCCTTATTTCACGTACATGAGGAATTCTGGTTCCTTCTTATACATTTCCCCTCTTTAGATTTAATTAATTAATTTTCATGTTTATTAATTTTTTCAATACTGTCACTTTCTTTTAAGACCACATTTGTTAGTATTGAGTAATGTTACTTTTGATTCAAATAAATACTCCTTATTTTTATTGTAAACAAATAACTCCGATACAAATTAATGTGTTCTTAAATTGTAATTAATTGTGCTGCATAAGGTATCTTTTTAACACTCAGATATACATTGGTGTGCTCTTAAATCGTAATTTACTATGCTGTATAAGGTATATTTTTATGTGATTTTCATAATTAAATTTACCTGGAACAGTTTACTAATGTTATCAGTTTAAAGATACAACATTTACATTAAACCTAATTACAACAAATATTTCCTGGTCCATTCCATTCATAGAACATTTAATTATCTTATAAATAATTTGCTCGTTATATGTTTGCGTGATGGACGATTTTTCTAAATTGCACAATTCCTTCGTATTTTTAAAGACGGTTGGATTTATTCGATAATAGGGCTTCATATATTTGAGACCAGATCGTTTTTCAAGGGGCATTTTAAAATGAAACGATATTCGTCCTCGATGTCATTAAGACACACAGGACAAGTTCGAAGCTGACGTGGAACATTTCTGTGGCTGCCCGATTCGATAAGAAGACAATGCGAAGATGAACTTAATCTAACAATAGCGTTTTTATAGTTAGCAGGAATTGGTTTTGAAAGATAAGTTTGTCATAGACCATCTTGACAGGAGCAACAAACTATCGGACTACCAGCATGGTTTTCGACAACGCCGACCTTGTGAGTCACAACTCGCCATCACCACCAGTGCTATGACTTATAGTCTCATCCCAGGTTGATCTGGTTGTATTGTATTTTTCAAAGGCCTTTGCCATGTCCCTCATCGAAGACTAGTACGGAAGTTACAACACTACAGATTTGACAACAGAGTGGTAATGTGGATACAATGCTTCTTGAGGAGTAGAACTCAATAAGTTGTAGTTGACGGTGACGTATCCACAACAGAGTGGTACTGTGGATACAATGCTTCTTGAGGAGTAGAACTCAATAAGTTGTAGTTGACGGTGACGTATCCACAACAGCAGATGTCCTATCCGGGGTACCACAAGGGACAACAATAGACCCGATCCTGTTCCTACTTTAAATCAACGACATTGTTGACAACATAAACAGCACCATCCGTATGTTTGCCGACGACTGTCTCCTTTATCGAGAGATCAACAACCAACACGACCAGTAAATATTACAGACATATCTAGATTTCCTGCATGAGTGGTCAGTGAAATTGCAGATGGTTTTCAACACCAAAAAGTGTAACTCTATGATAGTTACACTTGCCAGGAAGCACAGACATGCCAGTACCTATACTCTAGGATGGGACCTGCTGAAACAGATCAACGAAACACCGTACCTCGGAATCACCATCAACAGTAACGTGAGATGGAATACTCAAATAGGAAATGTAACATCAAAAGCCTATCGTGTGTTAGGAATGCTAAGGAGAAACCTTACTTCGGCTCCACAGAACATCAAGGAGTAGGCTTACAAGATCATCGTAAGACCGAGGTTGGAATATTGTAGCGC